CCAAAAGTATTCTAAATTCTTTTTTTAATGTTTATTGATTTTTGAGAGAGTGAGACAGATTGTGAGCAGTGGAGGGGCAGAGAAAGAGAGACACAGAATCCAAAGCAGGCTCCAGGCTCTGAGTTGTCAGCAAAGAGTCTGACAGGGGGCTCAAACCCACAAACCGTGAGTTCATGACCTGACCTGAAGTCAGAGGCTCAACCCACTGAGTCAGTCAGGGGCCCCTTCCCCAAAGTATTCTAAAAATACTTCAATTGCAACTACCTTTACCAACTGAAGCAACTCCTTCCTAAGATAGCTTTTAAGAAATAGCTGCATTTCTTATTTCTAAAATCTGTATAATACTGTTTATTTTAGAGGATATATGCTTCTTATAGCATCTAAACCAGAAGCATTTAAATATAAATAAATGAGTTTTATAACTTTAAAGAGTTGATTTTTATAAAAGATGCTGTTGGGGGTTTCTATAGGAGGAAAGTTGTCCCCATTGAATGTGAAATTTTCTATGTGTGTTTGAGAACAGTTGGGCATTCACTGCCCATCCTATGGTAGTAATAGGTGCTCAGCCCTTAGGATCATACTGTGCTGGCTCTACCTTGACCATATTTGGCACTTGGTTTGTGGAAGGCCAAGGTGAGTAGCTCCAAACTGAGATAGTTTCTACTTAGGCAAGTTCAGATCAAAGATAGACTGAAGGAGGTTTTTACTTGATTGTGTTCTAATCTCTGGTTATAACACTTTGTTATGTGTTACTAAGAATGTAGACAGTGACCTGGTAAACATTCTTTTATATACAATTTACTTATAGGCATTGAATAAAAATGTATCAACATTTTAGTGATATCTGCTTTTACATTTTGGACATTCAATAGGCTTCAAAGCTCTAATTATTTATAGATACATGTTAAGCATGATATAATTTCTGCCCTCCCCCTCCATGTGTCATCCCCGGGCCAGAAAAAAAGATTTCTAATAACACACACAAACACAAGATACTTATAAGGTTATGGTACTGAATCATAGAGATTGCTTATTTGGGTCTATTCTATCAGCTATGGAACCTCTCAAGGACACAACTATACAGGTAAATATTGTTTCTTCATGCTCATCTTGAGTTAATTTCTTTTCGTTTATTTGCCCTGGGCATTTTCTCCCCAAAAGATTTATGTCTCAACTTATTTAAGTTATATGAAATTCTGAAACAGATGTACCAACCACATGGTTCCCTAAAAGTTATAAACTGTCATATAAATAATGTGTTATAACATAATTTATGAAACTATTAAAATTTTTATATGAGAAAAGACAACCCTTTGTTTCAGTAGTCTCTAAAAGGAAACAGAAGGGTGAATTTCCAGACTACGTAAGGTCAAAATTATGTATAAATCATTACTTCTACCAATTTGTTACGTTGGTAGCAGTAAAAGATAAAATTTAACTAGAAGAATTTTTCTTTTGGGGCAATATTTCCCTTTCTGGAATAACCAAAGAAACAGGAAAAATGCATTAACAGTCTACTTGAGTGATTTTCTGTTCATTTTGGAACAATATTACTATAAATTTATGCCACAGACATTAAAATTGCCATTTACTTAGCATCTACTAGAGGAAGGCTTTATGCTGGAATACTCTATCGGGATTATCCTTACTATTTGGTCCTCATAGCCTAGTCACATGGCTGAGAGGGCCTAGCATTATACTGTACATAGTTGGTATTTCATAAATATTAATGGATAATTCTAAATTATTTACGAGAGATGGAGACAGAATGAGTGGAGAAGGGGCAGAGAGTGAGGGAGACACAGTATCTGAAGGAGGCTCCAGGCTCTGAGCTGTCAGCACAGAGCTTGACATGGCACTTGAACTCACAAACCATGAGATCATGACCTCAGCCTAAGTTGGACGCTTAACCAACTGAACCACATAGGTGCCCCAAGAAGTACCCACTTCTTACATCATCACAGTCTTTTATTGCCTTGTGAACAACCAATATTATTCTTTAAGTAAAACATTACCTTAGTTTTAAAAGGCTAAGTGAAGGGGTGCCTAGGTGGTTCAGTCGGTTACGCGTCCGACTTCAGCTCAGGTCATGATCTCGCAGCTCGTCAGTTCGAGCCCCACATCAGGCTCTGCGCTGACAGCTCAGAGACTGGAGTCTGCTTCAGATTCTGTGTCTCCTTCTCTTTCTGCCCCTCCCCCACTCATGCTCTCAAAAATAAACAAACATTAAAAATTTTTTTTTAAATAAAAGGCTAAGCGATGAAGCTTTTCCAAAATAAACTTTTCCATAAAAAGTGAGCTCCTTCAGTTCTTTAGTAACTACAGTTTATCAATTATAATTCTATCTCAAATCTCAGTATTGCTTCTTGGAATTAATATGTGATTTCCTTGTATTAATGGAAGAAATGTGGATAGAAATAAGAGTGGATATGAAAAGACCTTCTTCATTTTTCCTATGTACGGTTATGACTTATAGCCATAATACTTCTAACAATTTTCACCTTAGCGTGGTCAAGATAAATGAAGCACTCTTTTTTTTTTAATGTTTATTTTTGAGAGAGAACGAGAGAGGCAGAGTGCAAGCGGGGGAGGGGCAGAGAGAGAGACAGAAACACAGAATTCAAAGCAGGCTCCAGGCTTGAGCACAGAGCCCAATGTGGGACTCGAACTCACAAACCGTGAGATCATGACCCGAGCCGAAGTCAGACGCTTAACCGACTGAGCCACCCAGGCGCCCCAGAAGCACTCTTTCATTAGTGTGTAGTAGATAAACTCCATTATAATTTTTAAAAAGACAGCATACAAAACAAAAATAAAAGAAAGGCAGAAGATGGGCTTTTTGACATACCAATCTCAATTAGATTTATCTAATTTAGGAAGTGGATGGAAATACTTAAAAATATGTGTGTCATTATAGTTTCAGTGGTAATGACTTGTTGCAGACTGAATGTTTGTGTCCCCCCAGATTCATATGTTGAAGCCCAACTCCCATTGTGATGGTATTTGGAGATGGGCCTTTATGGAGTTAATTAAGGTTAAATGAGATCATCAGGGTTGGGCCTTGATCCCAAGAAAGGAGAGTCTCTCCTCTCTCTCTCTCTTTCTGTCTCTCTCAACCTACCTCCCCTGCCTTGTGAGGACACAAAGAGAAGGTACCATCTGGCAACAAGGAGAGAGGCTTCAGAAGAAACCAAAACTGCCAACACCTTGATCTCGTCTCCAGCTTCCAGAATTACATGAAAATAAATTTCTATTTTTTACACCTTCCCCCTCCCCCTCCCCCCCAGTCTATGGTATCTTGTTACAGCAGCCTGGGCAGACTAAGATATGTGAACATACAGAATACACGCACAGCCCTGGTATTACGGAACAGACAAAAGCACTCTGGCATTTGGAGAAAGCACACTAGGAGTGTCTGGAGAGCAGGAGTTCGTGAAGAACCATGCTCCCTTTTGCTTCGCAGTTGAAGACCACAATTATAAATGGATAATTCTATCCATTCACAAGACCATACACCCCTCAAATCCTGGAGACAGCAGAAGTCCAGGCAAAAACAGTTATCACAGAGTAAAAGCCCAATCCACGTATGTTCACTGGTCAAGAATAATGAGACAATTTAGAAAACATTACCTTGGGCAATGTGAAGCAGGCTTATGAAAGGGACAGAGCTGTTCCACAGTTGTTTCACAAGTGACAGCCTGAACTGAAGAATTAAAACACAAGACAATAAGCAACTCTTTGGCAATAATAACATGCAACAGGGTGGTAAGAAAATAAGGTTTAAAAAAGTGCTAACCTGTCACTTTAGAGACTGTGAAGGAATTAGCAGACTGATATTTGCTGAAAATAAGAACATAAAAATGTCAATCATTTTTTAGATGCATCATCATCAACATAATTTCTGTATTTTTTCGGTCTGTGAATACTTTGTTTCTTCTTAAACATTCTTACTTAAATATCTAAATAAGCTGTAGTATAAGAATACATCATCTATTTTATGTTAAGTCCATATTAACTTCAAGTATGAACCAAATCAATACGAACCAAATTAATCATTCTTGATATTAGAGGAGGATCTCTTCTCATGACTAATCTCAAAAACATATAGATAATAGCATAAAGCCACATAGATTTATATCTACATATTTGTTTCCTATTAAAATTAAAACTCTAACTATACTAATTCCCTGTCACCATAGAACAGAACTATTTAAACTCTCACAATGGTAAATACAAAGTAGCATTATAAAAAGACTTTTAGATCATAAGTACCTAAAAGGAATGTGTGTTATTCATTTTTTTGTTCCCCCAGTACCTAGTAAAATGTCAACGATGAATGAATTCCTCCTTATTGAATGCATCATTAAAAAGCAGGATAGAAGAATAGGTATTCCATTATATATCAAAATTTTTAATTGGCTTAATTATACCCAGAGTTTCAGAAAAATATCTACTATAAAAGATAAAGCTTATTTGTGATAGTATTTTAATAGGACACACCCTTCATGTTTCAAGTTTCTGTAATAAACAAAAATTAAGTTCAAACAAAAAAAAGTAAATAGGATCAATTTTCTTGAATCCAACACCCAATGTTTGGCTTACTGAAGCTTATAACTTTTGTTATTCATTGAAGGTAATTAATACATTTTACTGAATTAATAAGCCAATCAATAAATGCTTCTATACAGCTTTTGCTTAAGAGAGATTGCTAGACACTGAAAACCATCCATAAAGCCTTTGAACAAAATTATTTACATAGAATAACATTCCATCAAATTTTCAAGAGTTTTTAATAAATTCTTTCTTATCATTATGAATCCTCCACTGTGGAGTCACGCAATTGTACAGTTAACAAAGGAAAGAAACTATGTCATACATCCTAAGAAAAGGAATTCCATATGAGGTTCAAAGTTTATTTTTTACACAGAAGAAACACACTACAAAGTTATTTCAAAAGGCCACATTTTTCTAACTTGTATAGTTTATATCAAAATATGCAGTGCTCTAAAATAATATGTTTCATATATTTAATATTATTAGAGAAACATTTCAAAAGTTAATGCTTTTATGTTGAGTTCAATTACATTTTGATGGACAAAAGGTACATAGTATACATTTACATTTTAGAGAACTTTTCAAAATGCTCTTTTACCTAATAATATAGTTTATCTTATTAGCAAAGTTACTGTTGCATGAAATAATCCATTTTCCATAAACAGGGCAGGAAAGTACACAAAACAATTAGCCTTCTCTGAGCTATTTTATTTTATAGCTGAAAAATCTATTGCTTTACATTAGGGATAACTGTAAATCTATACATCCTCAATGAAACTCCAGAAAATGTGGAGCTTTATTTAGCATGTTCTTTATAAGCAGAAAATGTTCAACGTTGAATTTAGATACTTTGGCTCCTTTTTGTCTTTGAAATTACACAGCTGAAGTGAGCTGAAATGACAATTACCAAACTTCTCTATAAATTCTTCTATGCTTTGTTCTAAAAGAATTTGTCAACTCATTATTAAGATTTAAAATCATCTCATCCAAAAGGTCATTTGGGTACTTACCCAATTGTCTGAACACCATTTCTATTGGATTTGATGAAATAATGTTTTCTTCCTTGTCTAGTGATATCCACCCAACCACCATCATTGTCTATTATGCCATAATGAATTGCGGCTCTACAAATGCTGGATTGCTTAGAGAAAAAGGAAGGGAGAAAGAATATTAAAACACTAAGATTGCTACATAGGACATGACTAGCTATTACTTAAATGACTTTAAATTAAACAAACATATCTGAGCAAAATATCTATACTTCATATAAATCATTATGTTTGCATTAAAAAAATCAAACTTTATATAGAAAGATCCTGTTCCAAAATCATTATATTTATTATACTTACCATTTCATAATGTACACTGCCAATAACTTTGGCTTTACTATCCAAACAGCCAGCAGGGCATTCATATCTAGATGAAAGAAATCAGGAACAAAATTTAGTTTCTCTGAATGTTAGTGTGAAATAAAAATATTACTTGTATTTTGTCAGGTAATTTTGAAAATAAGGATAAACATTACCTATTGCAGGTTGTTCCCTTGCACTGATCTCTTAATCTTACTTCACAAGAAACAATTTGGGCTGAAAAAAAAAAAAAAAAATATATATATATATATATATATATATACCAAAATAATTTAGATAATGTATAAGTCACTACAATTCATCAAGCTTTTGCCACTCTAAAAATGTCCAAATTAACAAAATATAGTTGCATCTGTCATCAACATAAACTTTAACATTTTTGTAAATAATGCAGAGCTCTTACACATTTGCTGTGTGCTTATGACTTCATTTCTGTTACTATCATCTGCTCTTGTCTGAACGTGGGTGTCCCGGACTTGTGACTGCTGCCGTTCAATTTCATTTGTTTCTTCTTCTTGAGGAGGGTAATACCTGTCTGATCCTTCTGTTAGAGAGAATGGATGTGAAATATGATTCCACCTTAAATGTGCAAAATCATCACATAATGGTATACCTTTATATGCCTGTGTAACATTTAAATCTAGAAAAATCTATAGTTTCTTGGCACAGATTTTGGCTTGAGGTGGTGATCTTATGTACTGCGCTGGAGTAAATAAAATACATGGATAAGCCTTTGAGCTCTTGATTCATTTATGCTTAATAAATGAAAATAATCAGCTAATATTAAATGGAGTCATTTCTAAACTTTGATTTATACTTAAGAGTGGTATCAGTGATTGCCTTTCATAATGCCACCATGAAGTCTACGCAGTGATCTGATGAAGTCAGGGCTTTTGTATGACATGAAATCATATTTTTAGGAGAATCACATTTAAAATTTCCAAAAGCGTCACATTTAAAATTCTCCCAATAGGAAATTTAGCTTAAAGAAGGACTGACATGCCCTTTTAATTTACTACAATATCAGTTTCCACGGAAAGGATTTTCTCTTTTAGAAGGAAATTCAAAATGCAGAAATTTATGAGTTTAATTTTTTTCCAGGTTATTTATATCAAGGGCTTAACAGTGGCACAATTTGGAAAGGTGTGTTATTTTCATGTATGTCCAAGGACTCCGAACCTAGGAAAGGGAAGTATGACTTCAGAGGAAAGTCAGTTTTAAGTAAAATAGTGGCCACTGGTGAAGGGGCAAGTAAGTCGGAGGTTTAGGGATGGCCAAAAATGGAAAACAGACTCACACACAATGAAAAATGCTTCCAGGAATGCAAAATGGCTCATATAACAGTGAAATACTATACTGTTACTTCTTGTCTGCTCATTATACTAATGAGCACTCAGTCATCAAGGGGAAAAAAAGGCACATCTCTTTATGAATACTGAAAAAGAGCTGCATTTATTCATGTTTTCTAAAACACTTAGTCTACATTAATCTTCATTTGGTCATCAGGAAGAAAAAAAGTACAAGGGAGTAGAAATGTTCACTGAGATGCCCAACAAGAGTGGAAGTTTTACAAAGCTTTATCATCTAAGTTTGCTCTTCATGTGCTGTAAACAGGACACTGTATTTATATGCACATTTTAGGACATTAAATGCATTTCAGAGCACTACTTTTACAATAGTTTTACAATACTATTTTATCTTTTTTATTTGTCATGTTGGCCATGAGAGATTATATACTCTGTAGCAAGAAGCAGAGAGTTAGTGTAATTCATTGACCATCATTCAGTAACATTCATGGATAGGTATATGGGCAAAAACTTTTAAAGTGTTAAAAATAAATTGCATTAGATTGCTAAATCCTTCAAAAATGAAGACACTTGTGAAAACAACTCTAGTCAATGATATATCAAGATCGCTTTTAAAAATGCAAATATACTTGTCACTCTAGGATAATCTCAAAGTAGAATTAGAAGTGGTTATGTGGAATAATGATGAAACTTTCTTTTAAATACAAATTTGCTATAATAGACATTCATATATTTTTAAAATATTTTTAACGGCTTCAGATATTTTAAATAGAGTTCTGGAAACTTTGTCAGTAATAATTAAATATGCTTTTTGCCTTTCAAGTACAAATTAATGCAGATGTTGGATTAAAATATAAATCAAACTGAATACTGTGACACAATAGCACATACCTTTGTAGCATAGATTTTCTCTGCAGCCTCCTCCAAAACTAGGTGGGCAGGCAGAACAGGGCCGTCCATGTTTATAGGGGGCGTGACCCCACCAGTTTCCCCTTAAAGAGAAGATCCACTCTAGTAAGAGGTAGTCTAATAACAATTTATGAGACACTATAAAATATTACTATCTTCTAAATAACGACTTTGATATGCATATTTAAATCATTTATATTTTTCATCGGAGTCCCTTTGGTTACTAGGTTTCTATGTAAACTTCTGCCTTATTATTTTGAAAATATTCTCAGTAATTGTTATGTACATTGTTAAAAATTACAAAATTAAACTTTTACAGAACACCGAACTCTATTATGGGATATTCATCTATATTCCATTCGTTTTAATAAACAGACTTGAGACTTAGATTTGACCCTAAGTACAGCTGTAATATTTTCAACATAATCATTCAATGGTCTTTACACAGGTGAAAATACATTTCTCAGTTAATCTATAGACGCTTTTCTCTAATAAATCCAAATTATTAAAAATACCTGTGGAATATAATAATATGTAAAACTGAAGTCATAAAAATATAATCCCTGTGTTGACAAAGATCATATTTTCAATTTTCATATTCCTTTTAAGGGCTGAGGTTATGCATCAGGCAACCATAATTGTTGCCATATTAAGTAAACTGAGTTAAAGCAATATACTCAACTATATATATATGATAATACATATATACAAATTTACATATAAAAGTAATGTTTTGTCTACTTACTTTGGGGAATAGTTGCACACCAAGTAGACAGCTTTAGGCCATATTTGCCCCCAAATGTTCATGTTATGACACAAATTAATGGCACAGCCTATTCTGTTACTTGTTGCCCACACCACCTACATTAGAGAAAAGAAAATATATACACAATGGAATACTACTCAGCGATGAAAAAGAATGAAATCTTGCCATTTGCAACAATGTGGATGGAACTAGAGGATACTATGGTAAGCAAAGTAAGTGAGTCAGAGAAAGATATATGAGTTCACTCATCTGAGGAATTTGAGAAACTCAACACATGACCACAGGGGAAGGGAAAGGGGAAGGGGAAGGAAAACTAAGATAAAAACAGAAAGGGAGGCAAACCATAAGAGACTCAAATACAGAGAACAAACTGAGGGTTGCTTGGAGGGGCATTGGTGGCAGGGATGGGTTAAATGGGTGATGGGCATTAAACAGAGCACTTTTTGTGATGAGCACCAGGTGTTATATGTAAGAGATGAATCACTGGGTTCTACTCCTGAAGCCAAGACTACACTGTATGTTAACTTGAATTTAAATTAAAAAAAAACAAAACAACAACAAAAAAAACCCAAAAAGCTTGGAAAAAGTAGGCTGAGATGAAGACAACAATATATATCAGAGAGAAATGTATAAAACTGAACTTGAGAAATGAATATCATTTAAGATGAAATAAGGCAATGTCAAAAGGATATTTTTCCTGAGGCTTTGGGCAGGGTTTAATTCAATCTGAAGAAGAGTGCTATGAGTAAATAACTCTAACTATAAACAGTAAGCATCTTCAAAATACACATTTACTAAATAGTTCAAAAGTTGCATCCTCACAAACCTAAATGCTATGTTAATGTTTCCATGAAAAAGCTTACCTAACAAAGGAACAGAATTTCACATCTTAAGCTGTATTGGAACAAAAATTTATGGGTTCAATTTCTAATATAATGTGTATTTTTCACGGCACCACTGGTTATTATGGAATTCTTCACTGATCTTAATCTTGTCACATGCAAAGGTAGACAGAACAATTTGCTTTATATTCACTAACAGTCAGCCATAAAAATGCTAGTAACTCAGGTCTGTGGTTTATCTAGTTGAATCCACCTTTCGTTGTTCAATTTAGAGGTTTAGAACTTATCCAATACGAAATGTGAACAATGAATAAAAAAAACAGGTAAATGCTGCACACAGGTCAATATTGAATGTCATGGTAAATAACCTATAGTTTTATTCTTTGGAAAATAAAAAATACTGAAGATGGTAAATTCCTCCTCGTTTGCATTTCCTGAGGCCAGACTAAACATGTTTTACATGTAAAATCATTGAAATAACATCTTTCTTTAGAATGTTTGTTTATTTTTGTGGGGGGGTGAGGGGCAGAGAGAGATGGGGGACACAGCATCAGAAGCAAGCTCTGCGTTGCCAGCAGCAAGACCTATGTGGGGCTCGAACTCACAAACCATAAGATCATGAGCTGAGTCGAAATTGGTCGCTCAACAGACTGAACCACCCAGGTGTCCCAAGGTAATGTCTTTTTTTTAAACTGACTTTTGGACTTTTTCTAATAATTACTTTTATCTTTTATAGAAATTGATAAACCTATTCTACAGACATCAATATCTTTTTTCAATAACCATACCAAATTCACTAAGAAAGACATCCACGTTCAGTATGTAAATTCAGTTGTGTAAATTCTGCTGCAGTTACACAAACTCAACTTAGAAAAATGAGGCGTAATATACCCAAAACATACCTGTGTATAATGAGTACACACAGGTCCAGAACATCTGAATGGACAATACGGGTTGCATTCGTGTTCATACGGGTAGCTAAAGTCTCTCACTTCATCATACCATGCTTGTACATGAAATGTTGGGGGTCTATATCTATTTGAGAGAAAATAACCACAAAGAGTGAGTAAAATTGGAGAAAAAGTAAAATCAAATATTGCAAAATGTATTGATAAAGTCTGGTAGAGAGAGATTCTTGTGTAAGTTATTAATCTTAAGTACTATGCCCATTACGTTACCACTACATCAATGGTTTAAAACAAAAACTAAGTCTAACATATTGCTGGTTATTCTGCTATTACTTTTATTTTGTTGGTGTGATTATTTGCTTTCTTTTTAGGCTTTAAGCCTCAGAAAATTTCTCATTAATGAATTAATAAGTATTTCAATCACTTATGTTTTCAAAAACAAAAAAGTTACAGTTTACATACCTTCCCCAGTGGGCTCCCAAATTCTGCCCAATTGATGGAAGTAGGCTTGCAGGTCCGTGTTCCCACAAACAACTTTCTGCCCAGGATTCTGCAGATCTTTCCAGCTCAACATCCCATGTCTATAGTTCAAAACAGAAACAAAATACAGAAACACACATATGATGTATAGGTAGAATTCAGGTTTTTCTTCAGGCTATAATGTGGTTCTATTCAGTTCTGTTTTTCCCCTTTTTACTACTTTGCAAGGTCAACATCTCAATCTGAGTTCTCACCATCTTCCACCTAGACTTTTACACAAGCTTCCTAACTAGTCTCCCTGCCTCCATCTCTTATCCCTACAATCTGCCCCACAAATTTTTAGAATTACCTAAGTGAGCACAAATATGCTTGACTGACTCTTCTGTCTAAACACATAGAACAAACTCCCATATACATAAAGCTCAAGATCCTTGGTCACACAGTTCCTTATAAAACATGCTGTTCTTCGCTCTTGCTGGCATTGTTTTCTGTTTAAAACATTCTTCTCCCAATTATTTGTCAGATAGACTCTTATTCTTTCTTCATAATCCAGCTTTAGATAATACAGTCTAGATACCTTTTCAATTTTCTCAGATGTAAGCTATTCTCTCCTTAGGGCTCTTAGAACTTTGTAATACTTCTTTGTTTAGCAGCTATTACAATGCAGTGTTAGTATCTGTCTACGTGTCTGTCTCTTTAACAAGACTATGAGTTGCTCAGAGGCAATCATTTAACTCATGCCAGTTATCTTTAGCCTATTTTTTTGTGTTTTGTGTCTGTCATATAGACAAGGTGATTAATAAACGCTTATTGAGTACATGAATGATTAATGAATCTGATTCCTATAAAAATATATATGCATTTTTATATACAACATTCAATGAGAGTGATTAAACTGTACTTTTAAAATAATTTACATGGGGCGCCTGGGTGGCTCAGTCGGTTAAGCGGCTGACTTCGGCTCAGGTCATGATGTCACAGTTTGTGAGTTCGAGCCCCGCATCAGGCTCTGTGCTGACAGCCTGGAGCCTGCTTCAGATTCTGTGTCTCCCTCTCTCTCTATCCCTCCCCCGCTCACACTATGTTTCTCTCTCTCTCTCTCAAAAATAAACATTAAAAAATAAATAAAGTAAAATAATTTACAAAGAAGTATTTAAAATTACAAAACTACTACTGAAACTATTTTCTATGTCCTAGGTTTAATATTCAATTAGCTAATTTGAAAAACCGGCAGTGTTTGGGAAATGTGAGGGTAGAAACAGAGCTGGGTTCAACCTTGGTAAAATAACAGAACTCTGGGCATGTTAAGAAGACTGAAAAATAGTTCTGGAACTGGAACATGAGGACACAACCTAAGGTGATAGCAATGAGACTGTAGAAGAGCAGACAGACTGAAATCGTGTTGCAGAATTTAAATTCCTAGAGGTTGACAGATGACTAAAGGTAGGTGGTGAGGGAGGAAAAAAAGATGAAGACAATGACGGTTAACAAATAAGGAGAAAGAAAATAGAGAAGGAATAGATCATTGTCATGGAAATATGTCTAATGTACTTCAATGCAAATTTCTAGGGTGATATCTGTGATTCATGCAGTATGTATGCCAAGTAGAGTAGAAATACATGAATGAGGTTCTGGGAAAAGAAATTTGTGATGAAGACATGAATTCTGAATTATCACCCAAAGATGACTTTCTTCGGGAAGATGATACAGAATGAGAAGAGGAATGAAAAGAAAATTCTGGGGCTATCAAAATTGAAAGGGAGGTGTCCATCAACTGATGAATGGATAAAGAAATTGTGGTTTATATACACAATGGAATACTACGTGGCAATGAGAAAAAATGAAATATGGCCTTTTGTAGCAACGTGGATGGAACTGGAGAGTGTGATGCTAAGTGAAATAAGCCATACAGAGAAAGACAGATACCATATGGTTTCACTCTTATGTGGATCCTGAGAAACTTAACAGGAACTCATGGGGGAGGGGAAGGAAAAA